TGGCAGCGCGCTCCGGTGCAGAGCGAGCGGTGGAAGACAGCCAGCCAGCCCTCGCTGGCGTGAGTGGCGGACTGAACCGAACCCTCTGTCCTCTCCCAGGGCGAATATTCAGGGCTGAGGCCTGGCTGTGTGTCACTGTTGCCTATTCCGACGGAAATAAGAAGAGTTATTAACTGCTTAACGATGACGGGAAAGACGAAAGTTGAATCAGGCTTGGAAAGTCTGAGCCAGAGCTTGGGGATGAGAACCTACTTTAGGTGGTGGCCCCATTACCCACTGCACTCTCACTGAGCACACCACATTTCAGCTTAGAGTATTGGGGGGAATCCAGTCTGCGCTGGCACTGTCTGCATTGGGTGTGTGTGTGTGTGTGTGTGTGTGTGTTAAGAAACACCGCATTGATTGACCTAATCTTCACCACTTTCCATATGGGTGTTGTGAAGGCACCCGCAAGAATGGAAGAGACAGATCTTGCCTTCTGTTGATGCCATATTACTTTGGTCACTTTGAGGAAAGCAGTGGATTCCAATAAACCCACTAAGTCCAGTCCTGTAGTTGGGTTATTAGTGTAAGAGCCCAACATTCCAGAAAAGTGGGTTCATTATGCTAAACTACGGTTCTGTTAACACGGATTTCAATCAGTGAAAGCACAGCCATTGATTGAGGTCTTACAGTATGCTAAGGCAGTGTTTCTCAACTGTGGCCACTTGAAGAGGTGTGGACTTCAACTCCCAGAATTCCCCAGCCAGCATGGCTGGCTGGCGAGTTCTGGAAGTTAAAGTCCACACTTCTTCAAGCGGCTGAGGTTGAGAAATGCTGTGCTAAGGAATAATAGGGTTTGTTTTGAGCTTCATCTTTTAATCCTGCCATTTGTTCATGAGCTCAAGGTGGCCTTCCTCCCCCATAGCCCTGTGAGGTGACTTGGGCTGAGAGATCACGAGTGGCCCAAAGTCTCCCAGGGAGCTTCCATGGCTGAGCAGGGACTAGAACCTGGCTCTCCCCACTTCTTGTCCAACAGCTTCACCTCTGCACCACACTGGCTCTTGGGCTGAGAGGGAAGGCCTGGCCCATAGTCATCCAGGGACCTTCTGTGGCTGAGGAGGGCTAGAACCTGGGTTTCCCCACTGCTAGTCCAATACCTTAACCACTAGTTTGTAGGCCATGATTTATGGCATACTCAGCTGATGCAATAAACAATGGTAAAGCAAACTATAACTGTAAACAATACATTCACTTTTAGATCGTGTGGCATGATATCCTGTACGGTACAGCTTAGCACTATACACAAAACAAGCCAGTATATCATAATTTAAACCTTATAAGGCTTTAAACTTATTCTTGTGCTAGAGCTCTCTCTGGGGGTGTTGCCTTGAGACTCCTTAAGCTTCCAAATGGCTGCTATTCCTAATGAGGGAGCATTACAATCCATCAGGGTGACAACTGCCTCACAGAACACCTAACATAAGCTTCGTCCTCTCAGTTTGTTTTACAATGGTCTTTGGGGCACTAATAGTTTCTGTGCGCAGCTGAATTTAGTTTCTTTCAAAGCTGCTGTGCAATCAGTGCCTTCCAAGAAATAATGTTAAGGGAAAATTCATCCTTCATTCTGAAAATGAAAATTTGGGTTTTTTCCCCTGTTTTCATTCAGAAACTAAGGGGATATGAAATTGACTAGCTTCAGTTCCCCTATAAGACTAGTTGTGAAATTGACTAGAATAGGCAAAGTGCCAAGCAGATCATGCTAGGAAGAGCAAGTTCACCCAACCTAGGAATCACAGGTCAGGAAAGACTGTTCTCTTTCAAAGAACCACCACCACCACCAATTACATAATGTGTGGAAATGAAGGAACAATAATCTGACGTGTATACATTTGCAAAATGGGATCCCTCCCAAATCAACAACCAAATATTACAGCAATTATATTCTGCAGCTACGCAAGAATCAGAGAGAATCAGAAGTGAAATTCCTGAAGCTGGCCTGTACGCTTACAAACTGTAGCATGCAGGCAGGAGGAATGATTTTTACACTGGGTCATTTCTAACTTTAAATTATCTTACCTTGCCTGCTAATAAAGCTGAATGGCACATAGTGGCCAGTATTAAGATGTGGATATATTATAATATATTTCCAGTTAAATCAGTGTTATTTAAATACAGCATAACCTTCCCTACTCTCAGCCTTGGGAAATAA